TTATTGAAAATACATTTTAATTGTGGTGTGAATATAATGTGGTGCAGCAATTAGATTTCGTGGTTGTAATATCATTCTTTGTGAAAAACCCACTCCCAAAACCTATTGAAAGTTGAAACCCAAATTTATCCTCTTCAAATTTCAGACCATCCGTATATGTCTGATGTCCCTTCACAGACTACGGTGAGTTCGCTAATGTATCTACTACAATATTTGTAAGTGATATTTTTTTCTTTTACTTATTATATTTTCTTTGAGATAATTTGGCCTTTGTTTGGGAAGAATTTATTTATGATTTAATTTATAAATAGACAGAGAGAAAAAAAAAATCACTAATTTATAAATGAATTATAAATTTGCAGGCTTATATATTTCTTTAGTTAACATATTACATTTTTTGGTAATGATTGAAATAATTAAATTGGTTAAGGTGGAATTGATGTTGTCATTCTTGTCAACGTCAAATTTTGCATCACTTAGCCCTTGTTTGGTTAGTCTTAAAAAGTGAATTAAAATTTAAGTCAAAATTAATAATTAATTATACACACATATTTTATGGGACTCACAATTTTTTAATCACATATTTCACCAATTTTTGTAAAGTGGGTTGTGTTTTCATCTAAACAAATTCATCATTATAATTATTTTGTTCCCTTGATGAGAAAGTAGAGAAGTGTATTATGTACAAACCTAGAACAATATATTATGTTGCGCAAGTTTTAGTGGATATGACAATTGCCCTTTTATTGTTGGGTTTTGAGTTTATTAATTTAGTTTTGGAGAACTCTTTTGGGAAAAAATTAAAAAGAAAGAAAGAAAAAATAAACTGAATACACAACCCTGATTTGGGAGCCCAATTTTTAAAATTCGACTCAGATTAACCTAAGATCCGACAATACATTCCGGGAAGTGCAACCTAAGGATCCAAACATGCACTTATTTAAAATAGGTGGGAAGCTTTTTGACTGTGTGGGTTCCACATGTGATGAATTCATCACATGCCTAAACCGGTCAAAATATTTATTTGGCGCCCTATGTTGGGTGACCTGTTACATCATATTATGATTTAGGAATATTTCATTGGATTATATCATTTATACACTATTTTTTACATCATTATTTATATTTACATTGTTATCAACAAATAATTTGATGAAAATTTATTTTTTAAACTGTCCAATTGGATGCAAAGTGTAACTATTCTACCTATACAAAAACGTAAATTTGAAAAAAAAATAATATGTGAATAGGCAGAGTTATAGTCATAAATGGCGACATAATTTTGACCCTTCACTTTAGGCATTTGTTGGGTCTTTGATGCCCAATAAATTCGGGCAATGATGTAAAACAGTTATCGGATTATTTTAGCGACACCATAGACTTGGATCAACTCAAATACTACAGATACTTTTGGAATGCCCAAGTTGGAGATGGATTGGTGGCTTTGATTATTGTGTGGTTTTTTGGGATTATTGTTAGTCCATTAACTTAGCACATTTATTTGTTTTGTTGGCCCATCAAGAGAGGTGAGTCTTAGCCCAAATTAGGTTGATAAGCTAATATATATACACATCCCTCTAAAGTAAACAGTGTTGTGTGTTGGTGCAAGAGAGGAGTACAAGAGAGAGGGCAGCTGAGAGAGAGAGAGGGGTAGCCGGCCTTTGTGGGGAGATTTTTTGGTAAGATTCTACCATTGTTACTCTCTTATTCTTCCTTCCTATGTGGACTTGCTAACCACTGTCACCATAATCCTTTGTGGATGTAAATCTTGGAGCAACCAAGTGGATGAAGGTGTTGAGTCGAGCTTGAGGCGTGTGGTGTCGCTTTTGTGTTTTTCTGAGCCCGAAAATCTGGATATTTGGAGTCCAAAATTAACAAATGGTATCAGAGCATTAGGTGGTGATTTTTTCGGCCAAAAATTGCCCAGAATTGCAGATGAAACCGGCAAGGAAAAGCTGTCCAGATTTTGTGCGAAAAACGGGACCTACAATCCAACTTTTCGGCCAAACTAGAAAGAATTTGGGGAATCCAGGACCACCAACATAACGAGCAGACCGAAGAGTTGCTGGGTCGATGGTGCGTGAAGCCCACGCACAGGGAGGTCGACGGCGCATGAGGCCCACGTGCAGCGTCGCGGTGGAGCGTAAAGGCGCATGGGCAGGATTTCGACGGCGATCTTAAAAAATAGAATGTTATTGGAGATGAGACGGACCCTACAGTATTGTCGGATTTTAGTTTCAGGTAATACGGTGAAAGTGGACGGTTTTGCCCTTGGACGCTCGGGTGTTGGGTGTCGTTTTGTGTTACCGCTGTTGCTGGAGACTTAGGACTAATGAAGACGGTCCTAAAGTGGTGAATTCGCATCTCTCGATATTTACGGACCTTCGACGTTGTCCGCTCAATATCGTGTGCTTTACCTTTTATTATTGCAGTTAAAATTATTATGTAAGATAATTTATTTTTCACATTAAAAGTTATCGTGTGGAGTGGCGTTAGGTTTGGGATTACCGTGAAGGGGTAATCATGTCATGTTGCTAAACCTAAAAATTACTTGTTAATTATTTGTCTTGAAATCTATGTGAATTAGTTGCCAATAAAATTTTTTCATTATTAGAATTGCACGTGAACTTAGGAAAGTTTACTTGACTATTCTGTGCCAACCGTGTCGGTACTTTACTTGTGGTCGTTGTTGGTTGCATTTTGTGTTCTTTGCATTTTTTTGGGTAAAATGACAACACATTATGAGTTGTGCATGTTTTAATGAATTTTTTTTTTTTTGAATTTGGCAAAACTAAAATGTTTTTCCATAAAACCTTTTGATGGCAAATGTGGTCTAAGGCAAGTGTCAAAATTAAGATGTGTTTTAACTGCAGTAATTTGAACATGGTTGAAATAGACTGTCCTATGAATGATAATAAAAAGGAAGATTAGGAGAGTGGTGAGGCGAATTCTGTCATTAGGTCGAGTGATGACCTGTGTGAGGTTTATTGAGTGTAAACATAGTTACTGCACGAGCATCTGTGTGTAACCCCTTCTGCATGTGTAATCACTTAATTATGTTGTATGGTGATATATTACACTTTCAATATGTTTGATGTGTGTAATGGTATGAATTAAAATGATCTTATTACTTTGTGTAATGTGTTTGCATGCATAGTGGATTGATATCTATGGCGTACTCCATTTTGTTCTGTGAATGGTGTGAGAGAGTATGGTAGTGAGAAGTAAGAGGGGCAGACATTTTCTCCTTCA